GCAAGGCAACATAAGCTCGGCCTGCTGCTGAAATGGCTGCAGGTGCAATTCCAAGGGTTGGCGTGGCGACCTCAGCACAGCGCACATGCTTCGCTACTGCAGTTCTCTCCGCCATGTCAGAATGATCATCGCGACTCACAGAATTGGTAAGTTTCGACCTCGGAATGGGTATGGGGACGGATTTTGAGCACATTTGCCCTCGCCCCCCCCCTTGACAGATTTTGCCGGGTCCCACCATTCAGCGCAGACTCCCCAGCCGCTTCCAAGTGCCAGCTGCAGAGGGGACTTCATGTTGTGGAGCAGGGGAGGGGAATGAGGAGGGGGAGGAGGAGGAGGAGGAGGAGTAGGAGTAGGAGTAGGAGTAGTAGTAGGAGGAGGAGGAGGAGGAGGAGGAGGAGGAGGAGGAGGAGGACCAGTGTAAGCCCAAGAGTCATCAACGAGTTTGGCAAAACCCTCCCTTCAAGCTTCCTCTTCACAGGCCCCTACGCGGGTCCATTTCTACTGAGGGAACTTCCTCGCTGGAAGACTGCCCTCTGAATACCCTGCAGCACGCCAAAACCGTATTCTCGGGAGCCCGACTCCACGGACGTCTTGAGGATCCGGCATCGTGCCCAGACGCCATTCTTGGGACTTCACCACCGCGAATCAGCGTAATTGTTGCACACTCATAATTCTGAATCTTTCCAAAACACAATTTCTGGTGCCTTCACAATGGAAATGCGTGAAACCCTCGCAATGATTGAAACAGGAATGTGCGCGACGTTAGGGAGATAGCCACATTTTGAAACCACATCGCCCTCAAGCCGTGAAGCTCTTGCACATTTTTGAAGCGAGTGTGCGCGGCGCTAAGGCGAGAGCCACATGTTGAAATCCACGCGCCCCCAATCCGTGAAGCTCCTACAATTTTTGAAAGCGAATGTGGGCGCGACGGCGAGAGCTACATTTTGAAAACCACCTGTCCTAAATCCGAGAAGCTGTTTCAAACTTCTATAACGAATGTGCGCGGCTCGAAGGCGAGAGGCACATTTTGAAAACCACCCGCCCTCAATCCGGGAAGTTCTTGTAAATGTTTAAAACGATTGTGCGCGGCGCTAGGGCGGGAGCCCCATTTTGAAAGCCACCCGCCCTCAATCCGGGAAGCTCTTGCATTTTTAATAAAATCGAATGTGCGCGACGCTAAGGCGAGAACCAGAAAAATATCCGCCCTCCATCTGTGAAGCCGTTGCTTTTTTTGAGCTTCAGGGTACTAGATGGTGAGGAATTCTCAGGTGAAACGCCCGGTCCGCCCTTTCGACCGGCCTCGGGGTGGGACAGGAAGACATTCTTTACAAGAAAAAAGAATGTAGGAGGAGGCCGGGGAGGAGGAGGAGGATGAGGAGGAGGAGGAGGAGGAGGAGGAGGAGGAAGAGCAGGAGGAGGAGGAGGAGGACGAAGCGGAGGAGGAGGAGGAGAAGGAGGAGGAGGAGGAGGAGGAGGAGGAAGCCCCCAGGAGGGCACTTCTGCGTGTGCGCCGAACGTCAGGGCTTCAGGGGTGAATTGAAATCCGCCAAGACGTCGCCTAAATGGGGGCGGCGCGGCGGGCCAGGTGCGTCGGTGCCCTGACGGGCCTTGGGCGGCCCCCCCTACTCTACCTGTAGTCCTGCTGTGGAATGTGCTTGCCGTCTCAGGTTCCTGGGGGACCTGGCGTTCCGGGGCCGCGAGGGTAGCTCCCTTAGGCTGGCGTGAATCTCGGTCCCGGCCTGCATGGTGCCTGCCTGTGCGGGGGCAGGCCCAGCCACTGTTGTGGCCCTCCCGTCACGTCGCGGGGCAAGAGTGTGGCTGGGGGGGGGGTCGGCTAGTTGGGCACGGTTCAAAACGTGTGCCGCCTGGCCCCCCTTGGTCAAGGGAGCCTGTGGGGGCGGGCCAGGTTGCCCATGCGCGGAAGCATGCGCCGTGTTTCCCGGACGTGTGGGAACCAGGGTCCCCTGGTAATGCAAGCCAAGGAGGCGGCATAGGGGCCGCCAGCTGTTGGCAGGATGGTGGAGCTCTTCGTGCTCTACGTGGTGAGCCTGGCACCTGCTCCTTCTATCGTCGTCGCGCACCTCCCCTCCCCGGGCTCCGTCAGGATTGCGGCGGCCCCTGCTCCAGGCGGCCCCACCCATCGTGTAGGCGCGACGGACTGGCGTTGCGCTTCAGTTTTGTCGCAGGAGGAGGTGGTGGAGGAGGATGAGGAGGATGCGCGCGATGGGAGGGGTCGCTGCCCCCCGCGGGGAGCCTGGGCCCCTCCTCAGGAGACCAGGGCCCCCCGACCGTGACGAACAGGCCGACGGATTCACGTGATGTTCCCTCCCGCGAAAACCATCGTGGCGGGGGTGGGTGGGCGGGCGGCGCCCTGCCGCGAAGCGGCCAGGCCCCCAACCGCCCCCCCCCCCGCGCCAGGGCTGGGGCGGGCGCTCGAGCTGAGCAGGTCCTCCGGCTGCGCCCCGACGTCGCCGCAGGCGCGCTTGCTTGAGGGGCTCCC